GCTGCCCGACCGGGATGGCCATGCTCCCAGCCCGGGCCGCGCGACCAGCAGTGGCCAGGCAGGTCACCGCCTTCCCTGGGAAGGCGCAGGCGGGGCACGCAGGGAGGAAGCAGAGCCTCCGTCGCAGGCATCAGGTGCTAAGGTGCTGCAAGCCAAGGCGGTGGAGGCCTCAGAAGACATTGCTGGGTCCTGCTCACAGCCGGGGCCACCGCCTGGCACACAGCCCCTGCTCCCCTCCTGGGATCCGGGCACAGGTTCACGTGGCATCCTGGTGCCCGGCAGCGCATGTGGATGCAGACCTCCCTCGGCTGCTGGTTCTTCCCTAATCGCCCCAGTTGCCCCTCCCGTCTGACTCCCCTCCTCCCTCTCAGCAGGCCTTTGGGGTCCATGTTTCCAACATGCTGGCAACCAAATCCTAGTCAGCTTCACCTCGAAAGGCTCCTGAGCTGTGGGTTTAGCCTGAGCGCGTTTCACCTTCCAGGGCAGCTCCTCTGAGGACAAGAAGCCAGGTCCAGTCGCGGGTCAGACAGGCATCGAGCAGGGCCCCAGAGCTGCAGCCCCCAGCGGCCCCTGCTGTGTACCCAGGGGCTGTTTGCAGGGAGGGGGGACTTCTGGGGGGGCTTCCCCAGGGAATGAGATTCTGCATCTGTGTGGCTTCCCCAGTTTTTGAAGTCTGGAATCAATTCAACGATTTTCAAGCACTAAGAAGCCCAAGGGAACCCTGTAGGACCAGAGCCCACTACTGCTCCGGCCCACATGCCTGGTGACTGCATCCAGCATGGGTGGTCCCTTCTAGAAAGCCAACAAAGCAGTTGTCACAGAGAGGGACTGGCTTCAGTGTTTGACATTTGGGCACTGAGGGTAACTGTCAGCAGAGGGAAGATCCAGATGCAGGATGAGGTTGGAGATGGGGGGCCTCCCACTGGGTCAGTCACGTGTTACTATGGCAATGACAAAAACACGGACACCAGTAAGGACGTAAACAGCCTGTCCTGTTATCTCACAACTTCAAAAGAACCGTTGTTAAGTTTTCCTTCAAACTGGGATGGGGCTGTCCGTGTTTTGTAATCCAACTGTTTCCCTTCGTAGCCTCTCGTGGACATTTCCTCGTGGGCCATGAGATGTGACCAGCTGTAGCTATGCTGAGTCTTTGCTGGAAACCTGGCACCCACACCCCGACTGTGGACGCCACAGACTCGATCCTCCTACCGTGTGGCATGGATGCGTCCAGTGGGAGCTGGGGTCTCCCTGCCCCATGGACTCCACCAAACTTTTGTAGCTGCCTCGATTGGTCAGGTTTCACTAAAGGAATAGACTGATAGAAAATACATGTGTGGCCGCGCAAGGGACCGGCTGGGTCGCTCACAGGCTGGAAGTGGACGTCCCAGTGGCTGCCTGATGACTGTGTCCACACCAGACAGCGGAGGAGCTGGCGAAGGCCAAGGCCTGGGGCTCCCTGCAGTCTGCTGAAGTCGCTCTGGAGAGCAGCAGAGGCTGTGCTGGAAGCCTGAGGGGCTGGAGACAGATGTCCAGAGGGGAATGGAAGTGGGTCAGACTTCCTTTCCTTGCTCCGTCCATCCAGGCTCCAAGCTCACCGGATGGCGCCTTCCACGGCCGGGTGAGTTCTCCCCTGGGTTGGAGGTCTCTGCAGAGCTCATCCATGAACGTGCCCAGGATGTGCCAGTCTGCAGCACTTACTACTCGAGTCAGGCAACACCACACTGGCACAAGCAGTGTGGCCCAGTGTGGGTGGCACTGAGTGGCCTCCCTGGCTTGGGGATGAAGGCAGCCTGGTTCTGCTTCCTCCTTCTCACCCAGGGGTGAAGCCTCCATGCTGTGGCCAGTCCGGGCCATGGGAAAAGGCCACATGTAAGATGAGGTCGTATGCCTGGCCCGTTGGGAGGAGGGCGCCACGGGCAGGAGCATGGGTCCAGCCTTTCCTCTGAGCTCTGTGCCCTGTGTCCCTCTGGCTGCCTTCAGGCTGCTGTCCTCTGCCACGTCTCCCCATGGTGCCTCACTGCAGGCCAAAGCAGTGGAGCCCAACAGCCACGGTGGAAGCCACGGCAAGCCCTCCACCATGTTGGCTTCCACTGCAGCAGTAAAAAGCCAACGCGCCATCTGTTCCTCGGATGAACTGTGCAACAACTAAGTAGAAGGGTGTGGCACCCGCTGCCGAGCCTCTTCCTGGAATGGCTGAGAGGGTGGACTTCCCGTTACAGCGCCAGGGCGGGCATAAGAGTGGGCGAGCGGCACTCAGCCAGCATCTCGCACCTTTCCTCAGCCCCTCCAGCAGCCAACTCATTGGGAGCCAGAGTGGATGTCCGGTGAGACGAGAAAGCTGGAGGCCGGGCAGGGTCCCGGAGCCCTGCGGCTGAGGCGCGGTCCTGCTCCTGCGTGGAGTGGGGGGCAGGCCTGCCCTTCGGAGGGGTGGGAACATTCTCTCCGGCATTTGTGGTTGTCGTGAAACTTACAGATCACGAAATTAACCATTTGCAGTGTGGAGTTCAGGGCCATTTAATATATTCGCAGTGTGGTCCACCTGGTTCCAAAATGCATTCTTTGCCCAAAGAACCCATCCGCCCCGCTCCCCATGCCCTGCTGCAGCCCCGAGGCCAGTCCCTGTTCTGTCCCCTGGCAACCTGGTGAGGGAATTTCAAGTAAACAGAGCCCCATGCTGTGCCAGGCGAGGGCCAGGCTCACTCACAGCTGACTGAGAGCGCAGTGTGGACGCAGGTGATCCGACTCTGGGTCTGGCTGCTCCCTCTGGGCCAGGGGCAGCTCTGCCCTCGAACCTGGGCAGGGTCCGTGCCCAGAGAGGAGCTGGGGGCACCAGCAGCGTCACCGGGAAGAACGGGCCGAGGTGTTTCTCTGTGAGGCAGTTGCCTCTGTGCATCAGGCAGCAGCTGCTTCTGCTCAGGCTGTTTCTCTGCTCCTCGGTTCGCTAAGGGCTGTGAGCAGGGAGCACAGCAGCCACGGCCTGACCTCAGTGGGCGGGGGGGGACGGACTTGCCTGGTCCTCAGTACTCGGTGGTCACTTTCGGCCAGATGTTAGCGAGGAATCCCAGCCGCATTGTAAGTGGAGTCC